GGCTGCTAACTAAAATGTTAGAGGTTCAAGTCCACCCAGAGGCACCTCAGAAGAAAGCCCTGGTGATCTACTTAATGAAAAATCAGCCATTAAAACTCTATAGAGCACAATTCTACTTTGGTACACATAGGGTCGCCATGAGTTGGAATCGACTAGATGCTGATTTATATATACATATATGTTTCTTTACAAAACCCTAAGACACACCGACCCCCATTCTCTAATTTCCTCTACTCTAGTCCGGCCACCAGCTACCCACCTCATTCACCACCTGACCTTCTGGTCCCCAGCTCACACTGTCCTCTGCACCAGCAAGCAAACAGAAGCCTCTTTGTAAAGCCTCTGCCAGCGTCCAGGGCCCTTCCGCTCCCTTTCTGCAGTTCCCGGATGAAAGCTCACAGGTTTGGTGGTCTCTGGAATCAGGAAGGCAGGTAGGTCTTGGGTTGCCAATCGCAGGTCTTTATCCTGCCCAGGAGTGGCTTCCAGAATTTACTAAGTCTCCCTCACCACCAGTCCATGTGATTCTACGCGAGTCAGGGGGCTGGGATGGGTCCTTCAGACCTAAGTGCTTCCTTAGTCGGTAATAAACATCCTGCTTTACTCCGGAAACGTTTGTGAACCAAACCACAAAATGTGTGTCAGAAGGTATAATGTTTTTGTAAATACACCAAAGAGTCTGGCTAGGCAAGACATTTAGTGTGCATGGAGGCCTGGACTTTATTCTTAGCGTGGTGCCTGCCTGCTTCCAGCAACTTACGTAACCTGAGCCGTTCAACTATGCTCTACTTCCTGGTACATGCGCACTTGTAAAAGTAAGGAAATAGACACTCTTGATGAGAAGTCTTGCTTACTAGAGTTCAGGCCCTTTTTCCCCACTTAGCATGAGTCATAAATTGGCATAGTAGGTAAAATAATATGACTTGAGCAAACGTGACTCCTGTGGAGAAAAAGCACTCTATTTAACCAGGCAATCGAGATATTAAATATTCCTATTGGGAAGGTGTTTTAAAATTAAGACTTATTTAACTGAAGCTTATATTTCTGTGGGAGATTTTTTTGTTTAATCTGATAATCATACTTGCCACATGCAATATATTTAAGAAAACATACTGATGAAAATATCAGGAAGAAATCACAACCACGGTTTAGAAGCAGGCACAATGTTACCTCCGGAACATTCACTTTGAACAAATGTTTATATCCCACGTCCCCCAGGTTCCCGCACTTCTAATGTTCATTTGAACTGGGGCTGTGGGTTGTAACCACAGATTATGCAAAATTGCTGGGCTCTGACAGCCCACAGTGCCCGGGTTGAGAGAACTAATCTCTGGACTGTTCCAAGTCTCCACCTGCCCCCAAGGAAGAAGGCGAGCAAGGAGGAGCTGAGGACTCCAGGCGAACTGTGCTCTGACAAACACCCAGAGCCACCGGCAAGTTTGCAGCCCAAAACTGGTGAACCCTGTGGTGTCCCTGCCCCCTCCCTCAAGGCAGTCCTCTCTCTCTCACACACACACACACACACACACACACACTCCTGTGACACTTACTTTGCTGACAAGCAGAGAGAACAGACACAGCAGCCAGCAGGATTGAATTCCCAGTCATCTTCTCACGAAGTTCTGGTTCGCTCAACTGTTTGTAGAAAGCAAAGGGGACAAAGATGAGAGAGGCTGTCTTCTGACTTTGCAGTCTTTGCAATGCTGACGTTCCTTATTAGGTAAGCAAAGCTGGAGGAGGGAAAAAAAGGATGATTGAAGCAGCCAGTGACCTTTGCTCAGGATCAGGAATCAGGAAGGCAGGTAAGGCTGGGTTGCCAATCACAGGTCTTTATCTGCCCCAGAGTGGCTTCCAGCGTTCACTTTTTGAAATCTCCCTTATCACCAGCCCAGCACCTGCAGTTAAGAATCTTCCAGCAAATTCACAACTTCCCCTCCTCCAATCCTCTCACAAAACCCAAAAAACCACACCCTTCGTCTTTGAGTCAATTCTGACTCATAGTGACCCTATAGGACACAGCAGAACTGCCCCATACAGTTTCCAGGGAGTGCCTGGTAGATTCAAACTGCAGACCTTTTGGTTAGCAGCTGTAGCACTTAACCACTACGCCTCCAGGGCTTCCCCAACCCTCTCAGGACCCTTTTATTGCCTTCCCCTCCAAGATTCGCCAAAACCTTTCTCTCCTCCACTGTGGGAGAAGGAAGCACACATTTAAATACAGATTTATGCTGATTCTAATTTAATTCACCCAGTGAACGGGATTTGAGCCACGGCCCAGCAGATTCCCAGGCTGTGCCCCATGACCCGTACCCAGCTGCGTCCCATTGTCGCCTTGGCTCTCCCATGATCATGGTGACCATATTTTTTTTAAAAAAAGGAACTAGGAAACATGTTCTCAGAAAGAAGTGGAGCCTCAAGGAACTGATTTTTTTTTTTTTTTTTTTTAACTCCCATTCTTTAATTTTCTCTCTTTAAGAAGATAGGCATATTTCTGGTAAAAATATGGAACGCTTCACAAATTTGCTTGTCATCCTTGCTCAGGGGCCATGCTAGTCTTCTCTGTATCGTTCCAGTTTTAGTACATGTGCTGCCAAAGCGAGCACTAAGGGACCAATATTATAAACCAGACCTCTAGTAGGATACACAGAGTCCCTGGGTGGTGCAAATGGTTAACACATTCAACTGCTAACTGAAAGGTTGGAGGTTCGAATCTGCCCAGAGGTGCCTCAGAAGAAAGGCCTGGTGGTCTACATCCAAAAAAATTAGTCATTGAAAACCTTATGGAGCACAGTTCTACTGTCACACACATGGGGTCGCCATGAGTCAGAGTCTACTCAACAGCAGCTGGTTTGGTAGTAGGTGGACACACAGCGCCCGTGGTCACCATGCTGTCCACCACCTCTGCACTGTCAGAACAATGCCCCACCCACACTACGCAGCTAGAGTCCTGTCCTCCCTCAGCTCCTGCCCCTCCCACCTTCTTCTGGAGACTTCATTCATCACAGTTCCCTTCCCTCTGTCAACATAATCTGTTTGCTCTTTAAAGATTCACCTTCCCAAAACACAGAGTTGGGGTTTCTTTCTTCTGTGCCCCATATTTCCCCTTCCTCCTCCCACCCCAGGCTCAGAGGGAAGCCCCAGTGCTGCTGGGAAGTGTGCCTCAGCTTCTTACTGGCCAGGGACTAGGCTTCCAACTTGACACTTAATAATGACGCAAACTTCAACAAGATTCTGAACCTCTCCTAGCCTCAGCTTTATAAAATGGCACTAATGACACTTATTCACAGGGCTGAAGGGAAGGTTAAATGAAATAGGGCTTTTTCAAGAACTGAGTTAATATTTATAAAGCACTTAAAATAGCACCCAGCATATGTTCTGTATGTTTGTTAAATAAATACATAAAGTATCTGGAAGAGTGTTTAGCATATAAAGACACCTGTTTTAGTTACCTAGTGCCGCCATCATAAAAAAGACCACAAGTGAGTGGCTTTAAAGAACAGAAATGTATTTCTCACAGTTCTGAAGGCTAAAAGTCTATCCCTTCTGTAAGCCTCTCTCCTAGTTTCTGGAGAATGCCGGCAATCCTTGGTGTTCCTTTGCAGCTGATAGATGCATCTACCTCCATGGTCACATAGTGTAGTACACTGTGTGTCTCTCTCTCTGTTTACTCCCCTTTATACATCACCACTCAGAAGAGATTAGGTTTAGGACCCACCCTACTCCAGTTGGACCTCGTTAACATAACAACTCATGGTGACCCCACATGTTTCATAGAACTACACTCCACAGGGTTTTCAACGGCTATAATCTTACAGAAGTAGATCGCTAAACCTTTCTCTTACAGCACCACTGGGTGGATTCAAACTGCCAACCTTTCAGTTAGTAGCCAAGCTCAAACCATTAGTGCCACCCAGGGACCCCTTCTATGCCCACCCCCGGTCTCTGCTGGCCAGGCAGCAGAGAGAGACAGAAAATGCACCCTTCCCAGGGATGTCCATAAATAATGAGAGTGATCACAATATCAACAACCCATTAACAATCTTGACTGAAAAACAGGCCATGTAAGGTTCTCGATGTGCCTCGAGTTCATCATATTATCTCGCTGGAAGTCCCGACCAGTTGAAAAACCCCGTAACAACACAGCAAGTTTTTAAACAAAGCTCATCTAAACCAAATTTGAAATTATGCCTCAACTTTCATGTAGCAAAAATTTAAGTAATTGCTATGATCCTGCAAAATATTTTTCTCCTGTTTGAGAAACTGGAGTATCTTGCTCTGTGACCCTTGGTGTGGAACTCCAAGCTAAAGAGGGCAAAGGTGTTTTGTATTCACACGGAAGAGGCATTTCCTCCAGGACAGACAGGGCCCAGTGCAAAGGGTTATGTTGGATTCCACAAAGCCTAGGGCTGAAATGCCTGTTACCCAACACCAGGAAAGTCCTACCAAAAAAACCCAAACCAGTTGATGTCATATAGATTTCGATTCATGGCAAACCCTGTGTATTAGAGTAGAAATGTGCTTTGTAGGGTTTTCGAGGCTGTGACCTTTCAGAAGCAGATTGCTAGGCCTTTCTTCCAAGGCGCTTCTGGGTGGGTTCAAACTGCCAACCTTTCAGTTAGTTGAGTACTTAACTATATGTGCCACCGAGGCGCTCCAAGAACATACCATCAGGGCTCAAAGAGAATTGAGGCAAAAGAAGAGCAGAAAGGGAAGGAAAGTAATGATCAGTTTCCAGTGTAGTGTAGTCAAAGAGCACAAGTTTTGAGCTAGCAATCTAGGCTCATATCCTTGTGTAGCATTGGGCAAGTTGCTACATTTCCCTGGACATGTTCTCTCAAAGCAAATAATAATATCCACCTGACACGGTTCCTCTGATGAGTAAATTAAACAACGTGAGGGAAGCAAATATCACAGAACCTGGCATGTGGCAGGCTCCCCCCACACCTGCCAACTCCGGGCAGGCACAGAAGAGACTAGACCTTTTCACTGAGAAGACCATGTTACAAAGCAACAGATGACCTCAGAATCCTGTTATAATTTCCAAGATGACACAGATTTCCTAGAAGCCTGGAAACAGAGTGAATTCCCTCAAAATGGCTTTTGGCTATAATAAAAGACCTCAGCTTCAGTTGTCTTAAGTTTATATATGACTTGAAACCTGTTGCTGTCGAGTCAACTCTTAGACACAACTCGAACTCATAGCAATTCATAGCAACCCTAAATAATGGAGTAGAATTGCCCCATAGGGTTTCCAAGGCTGTCATCTTTACGGAAGCAGATTGCCACATCCTTTTCCTTCGGAGCGGCTGCTGGGTTAAAACCACCAACCTTTCGGTTAGCAGCTGAGCACTTAAGCACTGTGCCACCAGAGTTCCTTACATAAGACTTAAACCAAACTAAACCCACTGCCTTTGAGTCAGTTCTGACTCATAGCGACCTTATAGGACAGAGTAGAACTGCCGCAGAGCATTTCCAAGTAGCGGCTGGTAGATTCGAACTCCCAACCTTTTGGTTAGCAGCCAAGCTCTTAACTACTGTGCCACCAGGGCTCCTACAGAAGACTTAGAAGGGGATAAAATAAAACAGAATCTAGAGACTGGTGAGCAGAATTAGAAATCCTCACTCTCGACAACTCCCAGCACATACAGTCTTCCCAACCACCTTCCTACACAGAGTCACACACACTCACACACACATATGTACTCACACACATTCCATATGCACACACCCTCAAACAGCCTCACAAACTAACATCCAAGCTCACAAACACCCACACACCCACATACGCACACACTCGCAAACACACGTCTCACTCACACATTAACATACACACATCTCACTCCTACACTCACATACACACTCACACACACACAGTCATATACTCTACAAATATGTATGTTCCAAACAGGGATTTGTAAGCTGAATGTTTAGACCTCAGAACACATATTTCCACAGACATAGTATTATTAATGATGGTCATGGTTCCAGGTTGCCAAACATTTAAAAAAAAAGAAGAACAGCATTTAACCTGTCAGTTAGATAATGTACTGCATATTGGCAATCGAACAACAACAAAGGAACTAATACTAATGGTTGGCCTCTCTCATTTAATCATTACTAATTTTTTTAATTGAATAGTGTTTTGAACGAAGTACTGTCAAAACAGGGTGATCGGCACAGGGAAGCCAGTGGCTCCCTTTGGACCATGCTCAGAGCCTAATTTATAAACTTGCTGGGACCAGAGCAGAAAGAGGCCGGGGAGCATGGAGCCCAGAGGCCGCCGAGGCTGCTGAGAGGGCCTTGGTCTGACAGGGGTGTCTAATGTTCACCCCCCAGCTGAAGGGAAAGTCTGAGCACTTTGCCAGGCCCTATGCTGTCCACTGTATAAAGTTATCCCAATTAATCTGCATAAGCAAACAATGAAGTTGTTATGGATTGAATTGTGTCCTCTCAAACAATGCGTGTCAACTTGGCTAG